TCAGAGAGAGAGAATCGTGAGAAATGGCGGAGAGAAGTTCCGGCCAAATCCATATATCTCTGGTGATGTAGATCTAGAACCAATTTAGAACTGGTTTCCGTTTCGTTTTTCGTCCGTCCGTTCCTCTGCAGCTTTTGGAAGTTACAGAGAGAAAGAGAGAGTGAATGAAGGAGGAGGAGGTGCTGGTTCGGTGGTGGGGATGGTGTTTAAATCGATAAAGTAAAAGTTGATATGTTTGAAATTTTGAATTTGAATTTTGAATTTGAAATTGGAAAGTAAAAGTTGTACATTATGCTTTATAATTTGTACTTAAGAGTTTTTTGAAATTTATGTATAAAATGGTAGTACTTTGTGCTTTATTGTTTGTAATTAAGATAATGGTGTAAATGGTTATATATGTAGTATAGATTTGTTTAGTTTTTTGGATTTTTCTTTTTTCTTTTTTCTATTTTTTCTCAATGTATTTACAAGTTTTTATAATTTATTAAATACAAAAATAATCTTCATCAATCAATATTATCATATTATTTTAATTTCTAGCATTATTTTAAATAAATTATATAATTTATGAATTTATTTTGTCTTTACCCTCCTCTAAATCAAGAGGGTTAAAATAGAAAAGTAAAAAAGAACCTTGACTTCATTGTCATAAAATATTTTAAATTATATTTGAAAATATGAAAAACATTTGATCGATAGGGTTGGGTTTCAGAGAAAAAAATAGTTAAACTGAGAAGTGTAAGAAGTGATTTTTATCCTTGGATGGACATCAGGATGAGATGCACTGAGGTACACTGAATCAATCCCCGTATCAAGCATGATTCATGAGTAAGTTTAAGACTAAAGTTGATCAACGGTCTAGATCCCTTCTTACGCTTCTCAATTTAAATATTCTTATCACATGATCGTTCCCTTGATTGATGATATTAGTAAGAGTAAACTATGATTTTTGTTCATATCGTTTCTTACTTATAACTATTTTCCTTTCCAGTCTTTAAAAATTAATTTTATTATGGTTTTCATTTCATTTTGTTTTTCATCATTGAAACTAAAGGCCCGTTTACTAAACACTTACCTTGTAAGTGCTTACCGGTAAAATTTAACATTATCATTTAGTTACCGGGTAAGATTTTAGTCCATCAAAATGATATCGTATGCAATAATTATCCGGTAAGTGTTTACCATGGTAAGAGTCGTCGCCCTCACTTACCGAGTAAGACTCTTGGTCCTTGTCTCGCTCTTATCAGGTAAGATTTCTAATCCTTACCATATTCATTCAATAAAGTAATGTGACTTGGTGTTCACTTACCCGAGTAAACGTTTGGTAAACGGCCCCTAACTCTGCTAAAAACTCTATTAAGTGAATATCATTTGTACATACGTACAAAAAGGTAAAATATATTTATTATTTATTTATAGTAATAGAGTGTAATATACATCTGATGGTTTTTATAAGATTTTAATTTTCAATACATTCAACACACTATCAAGGGGTGCAAACAGCAATGCATTTCCAATTTCATCAACTTTTTTTATAGTCTTTTATTTTGATCATTTTATCTGTCACACCTCCTTTCCTTGTTTTTTGTGCACACCTCTACAGAACCATGGTATGTCTTTTTTATTATGCACATTTATTTTCGAACGAAAGAAATATCAAATTTACATTATTTATCATAGTAGAACTACTTGTTTCCAACTAATTAGTGTTAAATTATGTATTTAACATTTATTTATGAATTTAGCATTTAACTATAAATTTTATTTTTTTGAAAGACCAACCATTTTATTAGAACCGAAAGGAAGGTAGAGAAATGTGAAAAAGCTTTTGCATGTCGCATAATCGACCTGAAACAAACATATACAAAATAAGGCTAAACTAAACTACTCCAGCCAGAAATAACAAAAACCAACAACAACAAACAAGATCACCTAGGAAAAAAACCGGGATGCCTGCAACAGAAATAACTCAGGGCACAACAGAGGATTTAAAAATGGGACAGTGAGAGAAAGACCCTACGGTGAACAAACTTTCGGAATTCTTTTTGAAATCCAGTTGTAAAATCTATTTTGTATACCTGCAAATAAAAGGATTGCAGATGACGATTTACTCCAGAGATGGCCTCAAATTCCAGCAAAATTTAGTGTAAATGAATATAGATACAAGAATAGATATTGACTGATAAGCAAAGTTTAAAATGATGTGAGGTGTGGCGGTGACCTCAACCATAAGTTTTACATGTCACGACTCACGATGAAGATGCGACGTTTTT